AGTCGGTGTTCTCTAAAGAAACAGGACAAAAAGATTGTGTGTGTGAATGTCCTGTACGATAGATGAACTTGCCATCAAAATTGAGGGTAAGAGAGCAAAAAACAAAGTTCCCTTTTGTATCCCTTTATCTGGGCGGCCACAAGAAGATATGGCCCAGATTTAGGGTGGGTCTTCCTGCTTCAAATAATCTGAAGGAAATCCCTTCCTGAAGTGCCCAGGAACTCGGGCTTTAGGGTCAGACGCAGTCAAGTTGGCCACCGGATTAGCTATCACACCATCTGTCCACCTCCCTGGTGATAAGACCCTGTAAACGGTAGTGCAATGTCACACCGGTGGTCGACAGATTATCTCAGAGAGCTGTCCCAGTGTTTCCTCTCTGTGTGCAGAGGGTTATGCCCACCACCATAATCAAGAGAACAGTTGCATCAAAAGGATCTCTCCAGATGTTCTTTATAATCACAACTTACAGCTTCCCCTGGTAACCCTCCTGCCATTCTTCCTTTCCATAATTTTGTCATCTTCAGGGTGTTGTGCAGGAGCTGGAGAGATGACTTAGTAGTTAAGACTGCAAAAAAAAAAGGCACTTACTGCTTGTATTAGTCAGGGTTCTCTAGAAGAACAGAACTTAATATTCATTTATTAAATGAATAAACGTGTGTGTGTGTTAACACATTAGAGATCTGGCTTTTATTAATTAACAAATATAATTGCAAATTTTAGAATCACTGTTATAAACTTAGGGCTGATTATGATAGTAAACAGAGGTGTGTTTTCTTTTTTATAATTTAAATTTCTAGGTTTCTTATGGCACCAGTCATATAGCAAGGATTTTCTAATCTGCTTTTAACTGGTTTAACTCACTAGCGTCCCATTTACTAACTCACCACTAGAGGTCTCCTTTTTCCATGTAGAAAGGATTCTCCCTGCTAGCTGCTTGCTTTCCAGCAGGAAGTGCTTCTCAGATGTCAGTCCACAAAGTTGAAGCTGAAAATGTAAAAACTCACCAGATTTTTAAGCCTTTATTTCTATATATAAACTTAATTTTTACTGTAACTTGGTTTAAAGATAACATATAATGTTTTCAGAAATCATAACTGAAATAAAGCTGGCCTTACCTTTATTTAAGTGAACCACACTGACTCCAGCAGGTCTTAGGGACTCTGCTATTTCTCTTGCTGAGTAACAAGTCCGGCTTGACTTTTGCACAGGGACAGCTAGCCACTGAAGATGACCATCAACAGACACTTGTAAACTTCTGCATTGTGTTAAGAGAGTGGATATAAGTGGTCCTTGTTCTTCTTTTACCTCTGCCTGCTCCTCTCCCCCACTTAATCTTCCTCACTGAAAACTCTTTTAGTTTGTGAGACAGGGTCTCACTAGTCCTGGGTAGTCTGGGACTATGTAGACCAGGCTGGCCTTGAACTCACAGAGATCTCCTGCCTCTGCCTACCAAGTGCTGGGACTAAAGGAGTGCATCATCACACCCTGCTTGCAAACTCTTAATCATTGTTTGAGACCCATCTCAAAAAAACAAAAACCACCTCTAGTATGAATCCTTCCCTTCAGCCCGTTTTTAGGCTTTCACACACAGTCCATGCCTCCAAGTACCACACTGGATAGTATTCGTGTTCCCATGTCGTCTGTCTTCTCCGTTAGGCCATGGATTCTATGAGGACAGGATGGGATCTTTCTTGTTACTTCTCTTGTTGCTGCAATGTTTCACCCTTGGTTTGTACTAAGTGTAGCCAACATCCAATGAGCGTTTATGAATAAATGAATGAATGAATGAAATGAATAGGTGGGTTTGGCATTGAAATAAGTTAGGTAAGATTTTCACAGATGAAGTTGGGGGTGGAATTAATAGAGGAAATGGCCCAAGTAGAGGATGAGAAAGCCCAGATTTGTAAATGAAATTGACAACAAAAGACTCGTTACGGTGGGCATAGGTGGACAGAACTGAACAAATGTCTAGCAAGGCTGAGACTGCGGGATGCAGCGGAGGCAGAGGTCTGTGGTGATAAAGACAGCCTTGGTAGAAAGATGAAGACACAGATGGAGGCTAAGAGGACCATCTGTTAAAGGGTAGAGTACTTGCCTAACAGGAACTCAGCCTGGTGGTCAGTTCCTGGCACTGCCAAAGAGGGAGGGGCTGGGGAGAGACAGAGAAGGGTTAGCATGAGTGCGGTGGGTATTCCCAGATTCTCTCATCAGTTTCACGCTCACTGCCTCAGCATCCTACCCTTTCCTCAGCTTCAGAATGCCTCCCGCTCAGGCATCTTTTAAGTCTTCTTCTCTCTCTTGAGTTCTAGAATCATCTAGAGTTAGAGAGCTCATGGTAGGGAAGAGCACTAGGTTCAAATACGATACTGACACAAATTCTCTATGAAACATTGAGCAAGTTCCTTTAGACACATGCATTTATTAATGCCCCACCTTGTTCCAGAAAGGATTTAAAGTGTCAGCATGTTGCTTAATATCAAGGCTGTAGTTTCCTCATCTCTAAATGAGAGGTTTCGTGTGGCTGACTTAAGTTCCTTCCAGCTCTAACACCTTGTGACTCTAATTCCAGTGATTTTGTTGGTCATCTTCCCTTAGGAGTCCTGCCAACACTTCATATTTAGAATACGAAAATCTAAGAGAAAAAAAACTGAGCCCACAACCCTGTCCCCTGTTCACTTACTTACCTTGGTATGTATGTGTTCATGTATGTCCTTTTGTGCTCACATCTGTGTGTCTGCATGTGCTCAGCATTGAGTGTCCTCCTCACTTTCTGTTGTGTGATATCCATCAGACATGGGTTTAAGCCCATAGAAAGTCTTTATTAGCTGACTGGTGACTACACTGGGCATTTGGGATCCCAGCATAGCCCCAAGCCTTTCTCATGGTGAGCTTTTAAGCACAAAAGCCATGTTCTATATTGACATACTTCAGTTAAAAAGAATAGTTAGCCAGAAGTAGAACAACAGAAGCCAGAATACAAGGTTGGTATATTTAGAGACATCCCCATATGAGCTTTGATAGATTAGGTCTTTGTTTTTATTTTGACCAGTGATGCTGTCTACATGCTAAGTTTTATGGCCTGGGTGGTATTTCCTTCATGGAATCAGTTGTGCTAAGTTCTGAGGCCCTGTTTCATTTCCACTTTATTTCTTAGAGGTCCCCACACTGATCCTGGAGACTTGCCAATTAGGCTAGACAGGCTGGCCAGCAAGGGCATCTTTCTGTCTCTACTTCCCTACCACTGGGATTATAGGTGCATGCTACCAAATAGGCTTTTTATATAAATGCTGGGGGTCCAAACTCAAGCCCTCATGTTTGTGGGCAAGCACTTTACTCATCGAACCATCCTTGATATTGGTATCTGATAAGGACATCACCGTCCTGCCAGTGATCCAGGTATCATATTCAACTCTTGTAGTTCTTGTCTCTATACGCCCCTTACTGAACCATATGGAATCTTAACTCTAACAGTGTCGTATCCTTCTGTGACTAAGTGCTTTCCTTTGGAGCCCTTGTTAGCTATTTCTGTACCATTCTGTCTGTCTGTCTGTCTGTCTGTCTGTCTGTATTTATTTATTTATTTATTTATAAACAGATTGTAGTTATATTGCTCAGGCTAGACACAAATTCCTGTGCTCAAGTGATCCTCCTGCCTCAACCTCTAAACTATCTAGGATTATAGGACCATGCCACCATGTCTGACTTGATCTTTGGTTTTGCTGCTGCTGTCAGAGTAAATTCCCTGGAGCACAGCTTCAGCAATGCCAGTGCTCTGATCTTACATCTCAGTGACTCTCTGCTGTCTGCAGAATGTAGTCCAGACACCCTGGTGCAAGAGCTTTGCGACCTGGCATTGCAGTGTCTGACTTCTTTTCCCGACTTCCATGTACAGCCAGAGTGACCGACAGCATGCCTTATTTCCCTCTTTGACTTGCAACCTCTCATTGCTTTGCCTGGCTTTTTTGTCATTGAATCATCTCTGTCCTTGTTTTAGCTCCTTCGAGGCTTATATCAAGTCTTGTCATTTATTTGTTTTTTTTTGTTTTGTTTTGTTTTGTTTTTAGAGACAGGATTTCTTTGTGGCTGGTCTCGAACTCCCAGAGATACGCCTGCCTCTGCCTCCCGAGTGCTGGGATTAAAGGCGTGCGCCACCACCGCCCGGCCAAGTCTTGTCATTTATTTTAACTACTTGGCAGCGTGGGCCACTCCGTCCTGGATTGACTTGTAATTTCCTCAAAGATAGAGACCACATTTTACTCTTCTTGTAGTCCCTAACCCTCACACCTGACCCACTACTGGAGAACTTGAATTGAGATAAATCTATCGAGACTTAATCAGAAATTATTTTCTCAGCTTGTGGCTGGAAACCATCTGAACAAATCATCTCTTTTCACAAATGAAAAAAATTCAGAGTCAGAGAAGTGAAATTGCTTGTCCAGGCTCCTCTCCTGTCTAGCATAGGTTTGTTTGTGCTCTGATGACCCACTTGTATCTTTATCCCAAATAGATCTGCTTTTATTTTCTTTTCTCTGCCTGGATGGGAATACTGTAACCCTGCCACATTGTTCCCTATGGGACCATAGTTTGTCATTTTGTTTTCGAAATATATATACTGAAAGTGGAGCTGGTTTGAACAAATCTATAGTTATACAGAAAATAAGCATTAAGGGCAGCACTGCAGACAATTAAGGTTCAAACAATGAAATTTAAGCTAGAAGGAACCTTAGACATCAGCTAGTCCCAACCTTTCCCTTTGAGCAAATAAGAAACCAACAAAACCCAAGAACTGGAGACAGAAGTGTCTGGTCAGTGGCATCCGCTGTTGGCACAAGACTGACCCTGGAGTGTGGAGTACTTCCCAGAGGTGCGGGCTCTGGCTCGTGAGCTCACGAGGGCTCTGGCTCGTGAGCTCACGAGAGCACTGACACTGGAGTTTGGAGTACTTACCAGAGGTGCGGGCTCTGGCCCGTGAGCTCACGAGAGCACTGTTTTGTGTCTAGATCAAATGATGGTGCTCGGAAAGATTTCGAGGCAACTCTGCAGCTTAAAGAAAATCCCACGGTCATGTGACTCCAGATACTTCTGGGAATGGTTGAATACAGTGTTTAATAAGTAAGTGACTCTAACTAAGTGAAGAAATGTGGGGATTTTTATAACTGGACAGGCTCCAAATCACTCTTTGGCTACTTGCTTATTTCTTGTGTTTCAAATTATTTCTCTTTTGAACAACATGTACGGTAAGATGGTAATATTTTTACAAATAATAAAACATACTTAAACAGAAAAATAGCTTACAAAATATTGAATTGCTTATCTGAGTTATACAATATTAGTGTTTTTTTTCTTTTTTAAGATTTTTTTTATTTTTACTTTATGTGTCGCATGCATATATGGGTGTGCACCATGTGTGTACCTGGTGCCCACAGAGGTTAGAAGGATCATCACCTGGAACTGGAGCTATAGATAGCTGTGAGCCACCATGTAGGCACTGGGAACTGAACCCAGGTCCTCTGTAAGAGCAGTAAGTGTTTTTACCCAGCAAGCCATCTCCAGCCCCAAGTAGACTTTTTCTTACTTGTGTATTCATATCCTGTAAGTTATCTAGAATGAATTTTTATTCTTTTTATACTCAACAGTATGTTTGAAATAACTTTGAAATCCTCATTCTCTAGCTTCTTGAGGAATGTTAATAGCCTGTCGAGTCCTACTAGGAGAACTATGGTGCTTAAAAACTTAGTGTGGCCAGATGTGGTGGTGGCTCACACCTTTAATCCCCAGCACTTGAGAGACGTGCAGGAAAATATCTGTGAATTCAAGGTCAGCCTGGTCTATATAGTGAATTCCAGAACAGTAGGACTACATACAGGAAAATTTAAATAAAATAAATAAAAAATTAAAACTTAGTATATGGCATACTCATAGAAGTACCATATTGAGACAGGTACAACAAACTTACTGCCTAATATCACCATTGTGACTGCAAAAGAAGGGCATTTGCAGAAATTAGTAAATAGCACTAAGAGACGGGTAATTTGAAAATGGCTTCAAAATTATTCCCTTTTTAGCCATTTGTTTGTTTGTACAGTGTCTCTCTATGTAGCTCTGGCTGTCCTGGAACTCAATCTACAGACCGGGCTAGCTTCAAGCTCATAGAGATCCATGCCTCTGCTTCCCTCCCGAGTGCTGCGATTAAAAGTGTGTGCCACCATACCTTTAATGTTTTCTCAGTAATGAAAAATGGTTCCCAGATAGTCACTATATTGTGTTAGGGATCTCTATCTGTCAAGCTCCATGACACATATGAATGCTTGCCTAATACAGGGAGGACCTGGGTTTAAGCCCCAGAACCAAAACAATAAATAAAATAAAATAAAATCTCACCATAGCAGATATGAGAGCACATACCTGTAATCTCACCACTGAGGAGGCAAAGGGGAAAAAGATCATGAGTTCAAAGCTAGCCTTACTGGGACAGTGCCTCAAAAATGTTAGTAATCATATTAATATATCTTATCAGAGATTAAAACTAAAGAAAGGGAAGAAAGAAAGAAAAGGAAGGAAGGAAAAAGGGAAAAAGTAAGCAGAAACAGCTACAGAGAGCTACAGTTTTTATTTTTATGGATCTCATTAATGTATTTACTCCTCAGTTCATTTGAAGTAAAAATGTATTTCTGGCCCATATTTATATTGGTGAACACAACTGAGGAACTAGTGACAATGGAAGTAAACTACTCTGTTTCCTTGTCAACAGAGTAGATCATGAACGCATCAGGGATGTTGGCCCTGACAGGGCAGCATCTGAGTGGCTACTTCGGTGTGGGGCCAAAGTACGCTTCTGTGGCCACCAGAAGTGGCTAGCGGACTACAACAACCTCCCAGGAGGCTCCGTGGACAGATACAAGATCCAAGCAATTGATGCCACCGATTCCTGTATCATGGACATTGGATTGGAGCACATGGGTGAGTCCCTGCCACTTGGCTGCAGGGCATGCAGGCGACTCACAATGAGGGTTTGCTGCAGTTTGCGCACCGTTATAGTCATGTGTTTGTTTTTGCACATTTCAGTAAAATTGCTAGTTTATTCCTGTGTTAGGAATTTATCTTCAAAGTGAACAGAGATCATGTGATAGACACCTTCCTTCCTCCTCCCTTAGGAGCGCCTTTCTGTGTTCTTTTGTTCACTTAAAATTCAAAGCCTGAGCTGGGCGATGGTGGCGCACGCCTTTAATCCCAGCACTTGGGAGGCAGAGGCAGGCGGATCTCTGTGAGTTCGAGACCAGCCTGGTCTACAAGAGCTAGTTCCAGGACAGGCTCTAAAACCACAGAGAAACCCTGTCTCGAAAAAAACAAAACAAAACAAAAAAAAATTCAAAGCCTGTTTGATTTTGTCAGACTATCTTAGTCAAACGGATGTCTTTGTGAACATAAGACTAATATCCAGACAGCTTCTGCTGGTGTGGGGTTTTCAGAGTGGCCCTTGCACCAGCCCACGCTGTGTAATGAGTGAGTCATGTATGGTCAATAGGTGAGCAGACACTCCAGTTTCCACGGACCGGGCAAAGCCAGGACAGTCCCGTCCTAGGTGAACCAAGGGCTGTTAGTCACGGTAATAATAAGATAGATTCTTAGACTTTGAATTTTCCCCACAGAGGGCCTCGAGCATGTTGAGAAAATCACACTGTGCAAGTGCCATTACATTGAAGACCACTGTTTGCAGAGGCTCAGTCAACTTGAAAAGTTACGAAAAAGCCTGTTGGAAATGGAAATAATTGCCTGTGGGAATGTCACAGACAACGGCATCATTGCTTTGCGACATTTTAGGTAAGTGGTCAAAAACAAAACAAAAACTTGATCAGAGTATGTAGCAGTAATCTCAGCAGTTGGAGATGTTTGAACGTTAGAGTCAAAGTAACTAGACCATTTCTTTATCTTAACGCTAGTGGAGGCTTCAAGCTTCTTCCTCTTATAGAAACTTGAGTACCTTTAAAGACTTCGGGGGGTTGTTTGTTTGTGTTATTATTGATACTTTATAAACAAAGGAGATCTGTTTTGTATGTTATAGAAATAAAAGAGACTCAGAAATGTCAGTGAAATAAGGAAAAATGATAATTTAAGTCTTGCATGAGTTTCATTTAAAGTAGCCTTCCAAGACTGTTACTCTAGAAGCCGTTCGGAAGGTGTGGGGTGATATAAATACCTTGTGCATGTTATTTTTCTAAACTAAACTCATTTTTACAAACTTAAACAAGCTGCAGTGACTTTTGTTTTCTCCTGTTTGCAGGAACCTCAGGTATTTGTTCTTAAGTGATCTTCCTGGAGTGAAAGATAAAGACAGTCTTGCCCAAGTCTTCAAGACAGCACTGCCTGCTCTAGAGCTGAAATTAAACCTGAAGTAAAATAAGTCTGTGCTCTCCGTTTAAAGCGCCATTTGAAAGTGCTAATGGTCAATAGCCGCAAACACGACCTAGCCACCCGCAGGACTGAGAGACGGTTTGGGAGTGGAGACTGGATATTAGCTGGAAAGCAAATGTGTAAACGTGACTCGCTAAAGTTACTTAGTTGGAAGTGAGAAATTATGTACATTGGATCACTTTAAAAATTACAGCATAAGCCGGGTGGTGGTGGCGCACACCTTTAATCCCAGCACTCGGGAGGCAGAGGCAGGCGGATCTCTGTGAGTTCGAGGCCAGCCTGGTCTACAAGAGCTAGTTCCAGGACAGGAACCAAAAGCTACGGAGAAACCCTGTCTCGAGAAATCCAAAAAAAAAAATTACAGTGTAACAGGGTGGCGATGGCACATGCCTCTAATCCCACCCCTCAGGAGGCAGAGGCTGGCAGATCCAAAGCTACAGAGAAACCTTGTCTCAGAAAAAAAAATTACAACGTAACATTTTAATTCTAATGTATTCCTTATTGGCAAATACACTGTAGATATTGCTTGGTGTAGATATTGACATAGAGTTCTTTAAGATACAATACAATTATTCTTTTTTACATTATAATACTTGACATCTTTAAAGGCACTGAAGTGTGTTGCTGGAAATGCCTGGTTATGAAAAACTGAAAGCTCGGTTTCAGATGCAGTGATGGAGGCAGTCGTGCACAGCTGTCCGGGGTGACATAGCACACTGGATTGCTTCCTAAGCTCCTGAATTGCATTGCATTTACTTTTAAAATACCCTTTGTCAGAATGAAACACGCTGGTTAATTCGTCCTACTTTTAAGCTTGGGCCAGTGCTGGTTAAAACTGAACACAGGTTCTTGTCTGTATCCCAACTAGTTTTGCTGGTAAAACAAAACAAGAACCAAAAAAATCCCTACTGTCCTTCTGCTTCAAACAAAATGTTAGTGTGTTGACTAAAAGCTAAATTTTGCTATCCCTCAAATATTTTGAATGTTGCCTCCTTTGAAATCAAGGGACATGAAAATGAACTTTATATCTAGAAAACACTAATAAAGAATGTCATAAGGGGATTAAAATTAGTCTTTAATGTTTTACTTGAAATAGCTGTATTTCCATCGTCATAGTTACATGCTGTTTCGTGTGTAGGTTTCTGTATGTATGGTTGGTTATCAGGTTGCTGACTGTAAATCTGACTGGGAATGACCTGCAGTGCAGGTTTCAGGCAGAAAGGGGAGCGTTAGCTGTTTTTAGAACTATGCTTCTAGAAAAACACCCTCATTTGTAGGAAAATGCGAATGACATATATCCCTGTCATTTACAAGTCAGAAAATAGTAAATAGGAACAAAGAGAAGGTAAAGCACATGTAGAATGGGCTCATGTGGTACATGGTGATTCCATGTGGAAGATGAGGTTTGCAGAAATCGCTCCATTGAGCATGAGCGTAAATGTAACAGATTACACTGAAGACAGTCAAGCCCTTTTATCTCAGGTTTGTTTCAGTATTGCGTGGCCCAACCGCCAGTTCGTCATGACTCCATCTGGAGAGACTTTGCTAGTCTGCAGTTTTCTATAAAACTACTGAATAAACTAGGCAGTTACAGTCATTTGCTTTTTTCAAATACATTTTTATTGATTTAAGCGGGGGAAAAAGGCAATTTGAACTACTCACAGAAGTTGGTATCCTTCCTTGTCATTTAAATCACGGCTATTAAGAGGAATTGAATACTATTGGAGCTGTTATTCAGCCCCTGTCAGGTCTGTGGGAGAAGCTATATATATTTAGGAAGTCGTAATTTGCCTGGGAGTAGCCAAGATTACTGAACAGAGGACGGAATTTAGTGAACTGCTTGGCGATCAGTGACTGGGGCTGAGCGGTGTCAAGAGAGCGCAGAAGAGATGTTCTGGGGATGCAGTAGAGCTTCGAAGCCCGTGTCTGAGAACTGTGAACTAGCAGCACATGAACCGGAAATGAAAGTGAGATGCTGATATGGGGCTTACATTGCCCGTGTCTAGGGGCAGGGAGGAAAAGCTTTGCTGTTAGGAATAATAAACCAGATCAAAGGTAAATTTAAGTCTCACTGTTGACCACTTCCTTGTTTGTTGTGCCTTTTTCATTAGCATGGTATGTACACATAGATATGTGTACAATTGTAGGAATGTGTGTTTACAGACATGTACATATACATGATATATATAATAAGAGATATTTCAAGGAGAGAATTTCAATTAACCTACATGTTTCCTGATTCAAATTAAAGTTCACAAGCAATTTTGTCTAAATCCAGAGCATTATAGTAGTTTTGCTTATAGAACAATCTTCAAGTATGAGGGTGAGCTGAAGAATGAAGTGATGATTATTTTCAGGCTGATGGGCTCATTCTGTGAGGCCTGTAGGTCTTGTCCTATCCCTTCCGGACGCACTCTTTCTCAGGGTAAAGATAAAAGTATATGTAAGAGAAGTCTAAGTATCTCATGGTTATATACGCACAAAACCTACAAAGTTTTAAGACATTAGATATTTTGATCAACTTAGATATTCTAAAACATGTCTTAAAACACAAAAATCAGGAAAGAGCATACAGGAAATAGAATCACATACATTTTGATTTCAGGGACCAAAATCATACTTAAATATGTTTTGAAACCAACATTAGAAATAGGCTATACTAGGATCTAGAGAAATACATATGGACATTTTATAACCCCTTTTGACATGTGCCAGAAAGCAAGCTGAAGCCTGCCTTCTGATATGATCTACTGTTGCAGCTACAGGCAGTAGATGCGACTTATATTGTCTTTAAGGGCAGTAGATAGAGTTTCTGTTCTGTCTTTCAGCCCCGCTGCTTAGATATACAAACACAGTGAAACTGCAAGCTTTTGCTTTCTTCTCTGGACATCCCCACCAAGCATGGAAGTCTGGCTCTGGAATTTCTCTTCATAACTTGCCAGGTGGCCTCCAGCTTTCCGTCTGTGTTTTCTCCTGATATGTAGTCGATACAGGAATCAAATATATACTTTTTTTTCCCTTCAAATTATTGATCACTTCTTCACTCTGCCAGCTGCTTAAATATTTGGGAAATGGTAGTTAAACTTCTTGGTATTACAGTGGTACTTCTTATTGTCCAAGGCCGGGAGGATGCTGCTGCTAGTCAACTGAGGTAGGTACTGCAACTGAAATCATGAAACACAAAGTCAGGTTCAGATTAGGCCATGTATAACTTTGGGGGGTACGGAAGTAAATCTTTCCTTTATAAAATCCAGAACGCGAGAGAGGGAGAAGTGTTTCCGTTTGGTTTCTTCCTTTGCTTCCAAAGGTTTGATTTATATCTAGAAAGCAGTCCAAGCTAGGTATGTTTGCACAAAATGCAATTCCTGCACTCAGGGAGCTGAAGCAGTAAGATCACAATGGAACCAGCCTGGGTTACGTAGGGAGACTGGCCTCAAAACAAAGCAACCAAGGTCTTGGGTTGAGTTCACACCACCATGCACAAACACACAGAACCCATATGAAAAAGGAAAAACACACAGGACTGGAGGTGTGTCTCAGTGACAACTTGCTTGCTTACATGTTAGAGGCCTTGAGTTCCAGCCCCAGATGCGTGCACACGCACACTCACATACACACACGCGCGCTCGCACACACACACACCATCCAGGTGTGTATTTGTGGAAGTGGGGCCTACAAAGGAAAGATTAGTGTGGTGATTTGAATGAGAATGGCCCTCATAGGCTCATATATTTCGAATGCTTGGTTTCTAGTTCGTGGAACTGTTTGGGAAGGACTAGGGGGTGTGATTTTGTTGGAGGAAATATGTCACTGGTGGTGGACTTGGAGGTTTCAGAAGCCCTTGCCAGTCTCTCTCTCTCTCTGCTTCCTGTGGATAAGATGGTATGCTCTCAGCTACTTCCTGCCTGCATGCTGACATGCTCCCAACCAGGATGTGATGGCCTCACCCTCTGGAACGCTAAGCAAACTCCCAATTAAATGCTGTCTTTTTATCAGTTATGTTGGTCATGCTGTTTATCAGAGCAACAGAAGAAAGCTAAGACACCGAAGCTGGATAATGTGAAGCTTATACATCTACATGGAACCAAAGTGATCAAGAACAGCCAACATATCTTAGCTACGATTCAACTAGATTCTAGATTGTTACAGATTTTGCCACTTAATTTGAGGCCATATAACCACTTTACAGCAGTCGGGATTCTTTGCTGATTTGTGTTTGCAGCTGGATCCTGTTGTGTGGTTAACAGTGCTATCCGGCAGGTTTCCAGTAGGCCCTCGTTGTTAACTGTGCTATCCTTCAGGTATTCAGTAAGCCCTTATTAAATGTGCTATCCTGCAGGTATACAGTAGGTCCATGTTGACAAAGGACCAGAAAGGAAAACAATGCCATTTTGGGGGAAACCTGCAGTGTTGACACTGGAGGTGGTATGACAAAGGTCTGGTTTCATTTTCTGAAGTATGAGAAACATGTTTAGCTGAATGCACAATGATGGACCTGGCCACAACCTGGGTTTGTGCCCATTAGACTGTGTAGCAGCAGGAGCAGCAGGGCAAGGACGACGTTAGGATTTGGGAAAGTGCCTTAAGAAGTAGATGTCTCTGAGGCCCTGGTTGATAATTCAGATGTCCTGTCTCCTACTTCTGTACCAAGGATGCTGTGGCTTGTGGCATCACTCAACCTAGATTCCAGCTCAGTACCAGGTCCCAGGCACGAAGTGATTTGAAAGTCTGTGAAGCCGTGCGCGTCTTACCCCAGCCAGGTGCTTTCGACTCTGTCTCAGGGTCTTCCTCATGGACTTGTCGTCCTGCCTGGTCAGATCCCCAGCGTCTCGAATGCTGTCAAAATACGGATGCTGCAACAGCTGTTCGCATGTCAGCCTCTCAGCAGGGTCCATGTGGAGGCAGCCCTGGAAGAAGAGAGAGTCCCTTTTTAGTCCTCTGATGTCGCAATGACTTTTATTTTCTGTTTTAAATGACTGAGCACATTCATTATTTTTAATCTTTACCACTTTCAAATTTTTTCCTAGATGTTTAAACTTTATGTGCCTGAATATTTTGCCTGCATGTCTGGATGCACAGTACGTGTGCCCGGTGCTCACAGAGGTCAGAAGAAGGCATTAGATCTTTGGAACTGGAGTTACACATGGTGCTGAGTCATTTGGGTGCTGGGAACCAAACCCAAGTCTGTAGGAGGAGGCCTCGAAATAACCACACAGAAACTATAGTAGTTAAATAACTGCCTGGCCTATTAGCTCTAGCTTCTTATTGGCTAGCTCTTACATCTTAATTTAGCCCATTTCTATTCATCTGTGTACTGCCACGTGGCTGTGGTTTACAGGCTAAGTCCCGTCCGGAGTCAGACTTCCCACACCACAGATCCTCCGTAAGGACAGGTGCTCTTAACTGCTGAGCCTCTCCAGCACTGATTTTCATCATTTTAATTGATACATAAGTTATACAAATGTATTGGATGCTGTGTGATAATTAAATGCATGCTTACAAATGAATAATGATAATTAGCTTCCCATTTCCTTAAACAGTTATCATTTCTCTGTTGGGAGCCTTAACTCTTCTCTGTTTCCTCATCAACTATGCAACAAATTATGCTACAGTCACCCTGCTGTGCTGCCCCACATAGAACATACCCCTGACTGCGTGTGCTGGCATCGTTTGTCCAGCATCTGCCTCTCTTCCTTCCTACCCTTCCTCGCCTCTGCTGACCACTAGTTCACTCTCCACTTGCCCCAAGTCAGTCTTTTTTAGCCTGAGAAGTGAGTTTTCTGTGAAACACTGAACACTGGTCAGTTGGAAATAGAAGGGATAAATGTTGGGGGGGGGGGGCTCCTCCTCACGTTTTGAGGGCATTCAGTGCCCTGCCACAGGGGAGTACGCGATTTTGGAGCTCAGCTCCAGTGACTGATGGGAATAATTTATTTAGCTATTTTGTACTTTTATTCTAGAATTATGTTCATACATGGTAGAAATAAAGTTCCTAGTGTCATCAGTCTCCACCACTCTGGTTTTCCCATTCCCCTTTCTGGAACCCACTAGCCTTTTTGCTAGGTCTAGAACAGTCTGTGCATTATAGGCATACATGAACTCAAGGAAAGACACACAGTCCTACAGTCCTTTATCTTAACATCCTTCTTAACTCCTTCTTCGCCCTCAAACAGACCATGGGGCTCATAATCAGATAGCACTCACAGCTATACACCCCCCAAAACTGACTCAATTTTGTGTGTGTCCTTTGACAACTTCACATAAGTATACAGCATCTGTTAACTTGGACCACTTTTGGAAATATCGGGAATTGGCTATATATTGCAAATTGCTGCTGTGCCACATTTTACATAAGCAATAGTTCTAAAAATATATGTGTGAACCAACTTTAAAATGTATACAGGAGTTGACTATTTAATAAGATTTATTTAATTGTATTTTATATGTATGAATGCCTACCTGCACGTATGTCTGTGCACCACATGTGTGTGGTGCCCACAGAAGCCAGAAAAGGACATCAGAATCCCTGGAACTGGAACGTTTTTAATGATTTTGTTTTGCCTGAATGTATGTCTGTGTGAGGGTGTCAGATCGCCTGGAACTGGAGTTACAGACAGTTGTGAACCACCATGTGGGTGCTGGGAATTGAACTCAGGTCCTCAGGAAGATCAGGCCATGCTCTTAACCACTGGGCTATCTCTCCAGCCCAAAATTGGATGTATTTCAAAGAGGATTTTAAAGAAACATTTTTATCAGAACCACTGGAACAATTGTGAGCTGCTGTGGGTGCTAGGAGTTGAACCCGGGTCCTCTGGAACAGTAGTCAAGTACTCTTAACCTCTTAGCATTTCTTCATCCTGGGAGTGGGTTATTTTTAAGGATCCTACAGCTATGAATTCTTTTTTGAAGGAACGGATCATTTTGCAAATCACCCCTCCCAAAATTTCCATTTTATGTAAACTTAAAATTCCAGCAGAATGTTATTTCTTTAAAGTGAGAAGCTTATATTTTCACTATCATAAAATGAGACCCATTTTTAAAACTGATGTTTTTCTTTCTTTAAGAAAAACATTTTTAATGATTTATTTATCCTCATTTTATGTGTATTGATGGTTTTCCTAATGTGTGTCTGTGTGAGGGTGTCAAATCCTCTGGAAATGGAGTTACAGACGGTTGTGAGCGGCCATGTGGGTGTAAGAATTGAACCTGGGTCCTCTGGAAGAGCAGCCGGTGTGTTTTAACCACTGAGCCATCTCTCCAGCCCAAAATTGATGTTTTTCAAAGGAGAAGGATTTTAAAGAACATTTCATCAGCTGACAATTCTGACAACTGTGTGCTTCTTGGTCTGGTGAAAACCATGACTTTACCTTTAAGAAGCTCAGGGCAGGGTAGGAGATGTTTGGAAATTTCAATTCAAGGGTTTCCTGTCAAAAAGAAAAAGGGACTTTTAATTGACAGCATGCATTTTGATTAAAGTTACCTCCTACTAAATGTCTTCCTGGCATCTTCCTTGCCTCCTCCATCCTTCTCCACTCTGCCTCCTACCAGGAATAACCTCCGTGTGACTGTCCATAACCCCTTTCTCCCTTCACCTCTCAGAATACTTCTCCAATATTGTTCCCTAATCACTCACTTCCTGAAGGAGGTAGCATTGTAAGTAAACACCAGTGGACGAGAATGAAAACAAACAGCAGCAACAATGTACATGCCAAGTTATTAGTTTTGGGGTTTGGGGTTTTTTGTTTGTTTGTTTGTTTTTTGTTTTGTTTTGTTTTTTGTTTTTGCTGTTGTTGTTTTGATTTTGGGTTTTGCCTTGTTTTGTATAAAATGTCTTTCCTGACAATAATTTTTGGCCCTTAAATTAACAGCATTATCAAAGTGGGGGCACTTATTGCATTTATTGACATTTCTATAAAGGAAACTTCAAAATACATTTTATCCCTACCCAGATGAGCTCATGCTTATTGGATTTCTGGAATAAACACGGTGGTCACCTCCCACAAGTGCCTGCTGTTTCTCTGATCAGCCCGCGGTTTAGAGTCTCCCCAACAGGCTCTCATCTCCCTCTCCCCAATCGCTAGGCCATAGCTGGGCTGAGAGTGATACCCGAGAGAGAGGACTGCTGTGAATAGGTGAGGAGCTGTCCACTGAAACTGACCCTAATTGACGCTCATTGACGATGGAAGCGCAACAGCAGTGTCCGCAGTGCATTGTGGGTGAATATGGTAGTGTGAGCTGGGGGCAGGCGCGATTGGCCAGGCCCATCTAATGCCTGGAGCTGGGCTGTAGTTCAGAGCTTCTGGGCAGCGTGATTTTAAACTGGGAGCCTCAACACAAATTCTCAACTGCACACATGCTAATGACCACAAAAGGAAGTGCCTCCATTTAACAAGGGGGGGGGGGTGTGGTAATGTACCCCTGTCTTAGTCGTTGACAGTGCAGCTTTGGACCCCGCAATAATCGCACTTTCTGTGTATTTATCTAATGTAGGCAATGCTGCAGTCCCACACTGCAAATGTCAGCCCTCCTATCTCAGGAACAATGCCTAGGGTGACCTGCATTGACTGGAATACACCAGGTCCCTCCAGCCTGCTGAACCAGTTCCCCAGCCCCAGCAGGCAGCAGGCCTGGCTAGGCAGGGTTCCTGAGCCGGAGAGGGAGAGAGCACAGCTGTTCAACCAGCACAGCCCAGTGCTGCTGCTTCCTGTGTTTCTGTCAACAGGAAATCCCTTGCAGGACGACCCCTGGGAATCAGGAGTGGTGATTTTCATTTATAGAGCCGGGGCTATTTCTGAGACTTCACCAGCAGACAATTAGCCAGGAAATTGCTAAGGGATATTTGGTGCAGAACTGGGGATGTCCAGGTCACAAGGGAGCCAGTGGGTCGCTTCCCATAAGCCAGGTGCTGAGCTTGCCTCTCCAAACGGGACCAGCGTGACCCACTTTCCCCGGTGCTGGTAATGCCCTGGGGAAATGGACGCTTTGCTAATGGACAAAGACAGAAAGTAACTGCAAGGAACCAAAGGAACTTCCATCTGGAACCAAAGTGTTAGTTTCCAGCTAAAAGCAGCTTTTTTAGACAGTAGGAACCCGACTCACAAACTGAAGTTTTATTATTACTCTTTTCTTTGCTGTGTTAGGAACTAACCAGGCTCTGCTGGGAAAGCACTGACCACTGAGCTACACCCACCCCAAGTCATGAAATACTTTTATACTGTAACACAGAAGACATTTCAAAAATGAAAACAAAATGGAGGGGGGGGGGTGAAAATAGTACCCAAAAATCTTACTACAAAGTTATACCCTCTGTAAACTGGACATGGTAGTACATACACTTAATCCCAGTTCTTCAGAGATGAAGGCAAAAGAATCAGGAGTTTAAGGTCAGTCTGGGCTGTCTCAAAAATAAACAGAAAAAGCCAGGTGCTAGTAGCACACACCTTTAATCCCAGCACTCGGGAGGCAGGGGCAGGCGGATCTCTGTGAGTTTGAGGCCAGCCTGGTCTACAGAGTAAGTTCCAGTATAGGCTCCAAAGCTACTGAGAAACCCTGTCTCAAAAACAAAACAAAACAAACAAATAATAAGAATAAACAGAAAAACAAACCAAAAAGAGAAAGACATCCTTTCTTAACTATTTAAGAAATGTAAAGAGGGCCGGGCAATGGTGGCGCACGCCTTTAATCCCAGCACTCAGGAGGCAGAGACAGGCGGATCTCTGTGAGTTTGAGACCAGCCTGGTCTACAGAGCTAGTTCCAGGACAGGCTCCAAAGCCACAGAGAAACCCTGTCTCGAAAAACCAAAAAAAAAAAAAAAAAAAAAAAAAAGAAATGTAAAGAGGTTCACATACATAGTCTGGTGTGGCATATGCCTGTAATCTCAGCCCTCAGGATCATGAGCTGGAAAATCAAAAGTTCAAACCCCGGGTGAGCTGTTAAGAGTATCGGCTGCTTTTCCAGATGACTGAGGTTTAATTCTCAGCACCCACATGGTGGCTTAGGGCCATCTGTAATTCTACTTCCAGCTACCTCTTATGCCCTGATGTCATGGGCATCAGGCATAGACATATATGCAGACAAGAACACCCATATTCATAAATAAAGAATTGACATTTTTTACAAGTTCAAAGCTAGCCTGAGCTATAAACTAAGACCTTCTCTGAAAGGAAAAATAAAGCAAAAATTTCCATGAATTCCCAGAGATTGCCATATGTTTTATATTTTTATGTGCATTTAATAAAAGTATGTTATTAAATATTTATTTAAATTACACTGTTCAATAACCACTTTCTTCACTCAACAACCTGCTGTAGGCTTTTCCAGATGAATAAACACAGAGCTAATTATGTTTACTGGCCGCATGACAGCTATTGCACAGACAACTGTAACTTTGCCTCCTACTAAAGTACTCAAGGCAGTGATGTCAATGCCACACCTCCATACCCTTGTCTAAAGGTTTCATTGAGATGAGTTATCCAAACCAGGTTGGGGATATAAGCATTTAGATTGTCTTAAAGGAGTGTTTCCCCCACATTAACCATGCTGCAGCAGAGTGGGGTTATTATGGTTTTGCTCCCATGTTCTGGGAAGTAAGTACACTGTAGAAAAGGGAATTTAGACAATGCTGGGGGAAAGTAGCTGCTTTCACTGGATGAGTCAATTCTTAGGTTTGCTTAAAAGTTGATCCGTGTAGAGCTGATGACCATTGTGATGGAGAGCTACAACCCGGCAATCAGTGCAGCTTTCCTGTCCCACAGGCTGGGCTAACCTCTGCTCCCAGGGCCTTCTAAGACTTCCCCACCAGCTTGCTCCAATTTTCTCTGTCACTCTTAGACAAAAATTTCAATGCAGACTGAGCCATGGGCCCCAGGAAAATGACTACCAAAACCTAGCTAGCCCCATCTAAGGAGCTGCCTCCAAAATGAATTACTCACCATATCTTCAGGGTCTGGAATTTTCACCCCACTGAAGTACTGATTCATGCTAAATACTTGCTGGTGCCTGGGAATGAGATCCCCTTTGGACAAGAAGAGACTGAAGTAAGTGGGACTGTTCAGGAAACATGGTGCTGCGCCTCCCTCCCCCACCCACCCCCCATGCCCCTCCGTGGCAGTGTGGACCTATGTCTCCAGCTGCTAAGGTTGCAGCTTTCTTTTCCCGGCAGGAGAAGCATCCAGGCAGTGCAGCCTACACTGACTGCTACAGGGACGGTGTGTCAGGAGCAGAAATGGCAGGCTGCAAGGCTCTTGCCCCCCTGAGCTTACAATGTAACCAGCCGGGTTAATGGAAGTTCTGCTTTCTGTAAGGAACCCACTTCCGAATTGAAACCACCTCGTCCTGTTATTGAAACCACCTCGTCCTGTTTCACCAGGTGGCCTTCTATTGGAAACTCGACGTCATCTACTGTTTAGAAGCATTTACGGCGTGAGACACCGAAGTAGAGCTCTAGATTCCTGTTAAATGACGCTCATTCTGTAGCCATGGCCGCCGAATGGGCTGGCAGTGTCTTCATATAAAGTCCTAGGGATCTAACCGTGAAAGACTTCTGTTGAGGAAATAGAATGAGGGGCTTCCCGGGGGTGGGCACAAATGACCACAAAGGCCTCCAAAGCCTGTGGTGCTGTCACCCAGATGATCCCAGCTCTTAGCTAACTAGAGCTCAGCCCGTCTAGGGTTAAGGTTTACAATTTTACCTGTCCTCGCTCTACTGTAGACAAGCAAGCAAAAATATAGCCTCTAGGATGGTGACTCATATGTCTGAAAATGCTGTAATGAAACCCCTTAGCTTACGTACTAGCTTTAAAAATTAATTTCATGTATGTGCATAGAGGAGACACATATCCCTGAGTCCTTACAGCCTTTCCCCACTAAGGCTGAGTAACTTGAGGAGAGTGTCCAAAAGCCACTGGGGAAAACGGTCAAGGAAGTTCCTGCCTGAGCTTTAAGGAGGCTGCTGCATTGTATAAGGCATTGGTGGAGGTACCGAAAATAGGAACCACAGTCTCACTCGCAGGCAGCTTTCAGTATCTGGGAAGACAAAGTTCCCTGGTGATTGTTGATACTTTAAGAGTTTATGGAGAAATTCTGCTTTAAATTGGGCTCTGTAGCAGAGTAAAATCTAACCCCCTGGATTTTGGAAAGAATAGTCATTGTTTATAGATCTCTTCACTGTCCTTCCTTTTCTTCTTCTGTCCTTATCATTCACCTTAGTGCTAGAGGAAAAGCAAGACAAAATTAAAATATAACTAAAAATGGTGCGAGAAAAACCAGTCTTTCTTCTTGGTGCTTAGAAGGCTAAGGCGCTTCCTCTGCTACAGAGTCTGAATAATCCAAAACTTGCCAGGCCGGCTGCAGTCAAGGACACCTGAATGAATCACCATATCCTCGTTCAGGCTTGGCATCCCTAATAAAAAAATCTGAAGCTGGGCACGGACACGACACGACAAGTAGAAAATTCCACACTCGACATCAGGTGACGGGTCACAGGCAAACCACAGGCACACTAAAGAGATTACGTGAAATGACTTTCAGGATATGTGGGTAAAGTGTAAACGAAACATAATGAATTTTCTGTTTAGGCTTGGGCCCCATCTCTAAGATACGCCATCCAAATCTCCAAAGTCATCAACACTTCTAGTCCCAAGCACTCTGGAAATGAAAATGAAATCGGCCACGAAAGCGGCTGGGACCATCAAGTCCTTATAGTGTTTGCATTGCCAAGACGAGGCTTCTAGAGGTTAGCTGGATCCAACGCAAGCTCAAGACAGAAGTCCTGATCTTCTGGACAATTAGTGAATTCTCAGTAAGAAGCAGTCATTATCATTATCCAAATAAACTGTAGACACTTTTCGTGGCGCCGTTTCTGTGAGGCTCCGAAGTTCCCTGGTGTCTGGTGAGCTGGGTATGTGGCGCTGTCGCGGGGAAAGCTAGCCAGTTCTCTAAAAGTCAGGGCAGAAATAACACTTACCCAGGGTTTTCCTTATCAGGTAGAGCTGATCCACGTCAGATTTTCCCGGCCACAGAGGCACTCCGGACAGCAGCTCAGCAAAGACGCAGCCAATCGCCCAGACATCGACTGGGGGGCCATACTGTGTGTCCCCCACCAGCAGCTCAGGCGAGCGGTACCACCTGGTGGCCACGTAGTCTGTGTAGTAGTCACCTGGTCCAGCTGGTGAGTGAGGGAAGGTGGAAACAGACTAGTGGAAGTCCAGAATCCAAACTGAGCGGGGGAACTTGACCTCAGAAGCTTACAGCTGTTCAGATCACTGCTCTCAGTGCTGGCTGCTAGTTGCCATCACTTGGCCCTAGGAATTTTTAAGTTACTGATGCTTTGGCCTCATTCCAATCTGACTATCAGAATACTTGGAGAGGGCCCAAGGTTACTGTCAAGTTGGGAGCTAGGCCCCAGCCCCTCGCATCTATCCCAGCCCCAGGCCTGGTCTGGACTCCAAATCCCAGCAGCCCAGGGAGGGGTCAGGACCACTCCCCAGGGTATTTAAATGAGCCCCCAAAAGAGGAACACGTGGTCTCCCATTTCCTTCCTACCGGTGCTTGCGTTAGAGTGGTTCCCCCTGGAGCCACCCGAGAGCACAGAACTCCCATTAAACCTGGATATTTCTTAATTTGGCTTGTTTTGATTCAGCTTGATTGGGAATTTTGTGTCGGTAAGGAGCATGCGTTAGGAAATATTCTTAACTTTTACCAGTACAGTTTTTAAAGTTCCTCGGGTGTTAATCAGGCAGCCAAGATTAAAGACCACCCGTCTAAAGCATTACTTATGGGGAGTGTTAGTTCAGGGGGGAAGCGAGGCAAGGGTAGAAATCAGGAGGTTGGCATGCCTTATAATATATAATAACTCCTGTGGTACAGTTTACACATAGCCCACGCATCTAAACCATTGAGGGTCTATGCATTTTTAAAGTTATATCCCCTTCCAAAACTCTGCAAGAATGTTAATTTATAGCAAGATTATTTCCTAGGCAGAACACAAGAACGGGCCTTCTGTAGTATCTAGACCAGCTCTCATAGCAAGAATGTTTCTTTTACCCCAGAGAAAGCGGTACTCACTGAGAAGCCGTGCAAACCCAAAATCACAGAGCTTAATGACCGAGTGTTTCGTGATGAGAATGTTTTCCGGCTTCACGTCTCTGTGTATGCACTGGTGAGAAGAAAGCAAGACAGGAATGTTATGAAGGAGCCACCGTAACATCTACCGTGTGAGCGAGCAAAGGGCAGGGATATTTAGCACATGATGGCTACGTCACTTTAATCTTTCATTAGCCCATTGAATATGAAAACAACAGACTAGAGCTAGTACCATCCCTATAGACAGAATCATTTTAAATTCCTGAAGGACCCCAAAGACCTAGAAGTGTTGACAGGACAAAGGAAAGGAGAGGGGCTAGCCTCAGCTAATCAAGACATGTGAGACAACTGGTTACATTTGAATTTCAGATAAATGACTTTTTTTTTTTTCCAGCGCTGGAGATCAATCCAGGACCTTATCCATGCACTGCACTCCACCAGTGACCTCATACCGCATGCACTCTGTATTAGAAAGGGGAACTTCGTGTTTAACTAGGAGTCACACTTAACCTGCCGGCTGCAGGTGAAGGAGAAAGGACCGAAGGCTCCGAGGCCCACAGCCTGTAGCTGGAGCTACAGCGTGGTGCATAAGCAGGGTTCACCAAAACGCGGCCTGCTCGGTAAACAGGACAAGCCCTGGGCCTGCTGAGATAAGCAGGGAAGATTGGGCGGGAAGCCGTGCTTGCCAAGAGATCTCCCTTGCAGCTCTGACATTTGTCCTGACAAGATAAACAAGCGCAGGCTGCAGCCTCACCCTCTGGGGTGAGTCGCTAGGTGTCAGCTCTGTCCCACCGCACGGCCAGGGTTCTGCCGGCGCAGGCGGCTCCTGCACTGTGCAACCTCATCACCTGGTATCTAGCCGCGTTCTTTAACAGGGTGAAGCTATGCAGGCCTTTCTTATTAAACGACAATTTCTTTGAAAAAAAATAATCTAATAAACCTCTTAAGTCAACAACTTTTAACCAACTATTCCATTTAGAAATTAAGTTGGGACAAAATATTCCAAGGGTTTTCCTCTCTGCTGGGAAATGTCGATCTTTCTGCCGCCCAAGAGACTGCTGGCCTACCGCCTGAAACCCTTGGGGTTATCCTTGACTTTCTAGAATCTGGAAAGAGGACAGAGTTTCCTCGTGGGCCCAGCAGTTCCCACTCCAAAGGACGGTGGGGGCTGAGAGAGCAGCATCGGGCCTTTCCCACCAGCATTTTCATTCTGCAAAGGCTGGGGGAGGGTTAAGTTCCGCTATCTGCTTCTCAGTAACCGCTGGCTCCGGGGTCCGAAGTCCTTCACTAGCCATTTTACGTGTTGCTATAAATAGGCCCTTCCCTGAATGCCACGATGACATATGGGCAGAGGGACTCAGAAGCAAGAATGTGCTCTCGCTCTGTTTGGGAATTCCTTACAAGCTTCTGCACCCTCCCCCCACTCGGCACCCTCCCCAATTTAGCATCCCCCGCCCCCAGCGCATGGACGGAGTCTGGGGCTCTCTAGAGAGCTGTGTATGCTACGTGTCTTCACGTCCACAGCTCTTCCATCTTCCCCGCCAGGGCTGGAGAGCTAACTTTCTCATTCTCCCTCCTTCCTCCCCCCCTTCCCTCTGTGCCTCTTCCACTCTCCTTCCTGCCACCCCCATGCTGAAATTGGCTTGCTGGGAAAATGCTAACCACCAATGACAAGGACGGGGACTGTGGACTGTCCATGTCTTCTGCTGTAAAACGGTGCTTTTTTTTTTTTTTTCTCTCGGTGTTAGGAGCCAAACCCAAGACCTCATGCACGCTAGGCAAGAGGTCTTCCATGGAGTTCCACCCCAGCTCTGACAAAGATTCTAGGCTTCAGCTAATGAAAGCAAAATAAAAGCTGTTCTCTTATTTTCTTCTTGAAAAGCAACTTCAGAAGAAATTCACTTGGGCAGACTCTTAGAGATCTAACCCCTCAGGCTCGGGTGACCTGGGAGTTGAGCTAACAGTTGCAGTTCAATGGTACTCATGGCTAGAATGAAATTCTAAAATTACTCTCTGGGAATTTTGCATTTAGCGGTTGGAATCTATTTTTTTTTCCTTTTTGCTGTATTGATTCATGGGTAAGTCCATTGATGGCCATGCTGGGGGTCAAACCCAAGGCCTCACCCATTCTGAGCAAGTACACAACTGTGTTCCAACCCAGGAAGCTGGCATCCATGGCCAAAAGCAGGCAGCTGTAGCATGATTAATAAAAACTCAGACTATTTATTAAAATACAAATGAAATGCCACTACAGGTGGCACTGTGTGGGGCGGGAGAGCGCAGCAGGTTTTTCAGCATCTATGAAGCCTTGTCACCTGGGCTGCCTTCCACTGTGACTCTCTCCAGCCCAGCTGTGGCAAGGAGAACCAGAGGCAGCTTTAGCATTTTTATCTCACCAAAGCAGACACTAACACTTGAACCTTGGGCTTGGGACTCCACCCATGGAGCTGCAGCTGACCAGGCATGAGGGCTCTGGGGTTGCCCCTCCGGATTTCAAAGCCTTTTGAGGAAACCAAGCCATCACAGGCTAAGTAAGTGAGGGGCTTTCAGCTTCACATTTTAAAAGTTAAAAAAAAATGGGACTAGTTTCTTTAGAAATAATTTATTTAACTTTATTTTATATGCATTGGTGGGAAGGTGTCAGAGCCCCTGGAACTGGAGCTACCAACAGTTGTGAGCTACGGTGTGGGTGCTGGGAATTGAACACAGGTCCTGTGGGAGAGCAGCCAGTCCTCTTAATCGCTGAGCCATCTCTCTAGCCCCTAAGTAGTTTTTCAAATGTCTGAGTCATAAGAGCTGCATACAAAGGGATAGTTAAGCCAGGGATTTCAGCCTCTTATGCCGGCCAGGTTTATGAAAAATTATACCCACCAAGGTGTGACAGGAACTTTGAACAAGGCTCAGCCGTGGCTTATGGAAAGCCGCCCGAGTTTTCAAAGGAAAGCAGGAGACTTACGTTGTGCTTATGACAGAAATTTACAGCCTGCAGTGTCTGCCAAGTTATGTTCTTCATGAGATGCTCTGGTACCCTAATAAAAAACAAAACACAGCACAAACACATTCTTCATTCCCGCCGTGGAATGCAGCTCAAGAAACCCAGTCCAAACCAGGGCAGGCTTTGGTACTGAAACATCCCAGGAGACAACCCTCTTGAGACCCAGAGTGTTAACAGTGTGTGGCCAGCACACTGCTGGACGGGAGGGAAATCGAGCTAACAAACACAGATTTTTACAGGGAAGACTCATGAAAGCCCACAGGGATTTCAACGAGTATTTTTATCCTGGGACTGCCTGAAGCTTGAACTCCTCCTCGGTTTCTTTCTTTGTTTTGTTTCGTTTTGTTTTTTAGGAGAGAGTTGAGGCATGTTTTTTTTTTTTTTTGTTTTTGTTTTTTTTTTTGCTATGGTGGCCCCGACTGACCTAAAACTCAGGCTCATCCTGTATAGCTTCCAAGTGCTGGGATTACAGGCATGGGCCACCAGGCCCCATTTCTGTGATGCAGACCTTACTAACATAAAGTTAGTGACTAAACAGCCCGAACGACAATGCTGTGTCTTTCTCAGGGTACTCTAGACTACAGTCCTAAAGCAAGGACGTCCCCTGCGCGCAGCATCTCCGGATGCCTATTTGCACCGTTTGTTTCCTTTGAAGGGAGAGAAGTGAGGTTTTCCTGCGACAAGGAAGAGGTTTATGTGGCATGCCGTATAACTAAAGTTCAAAATAATTAGAGCACAGATAAGCATCACACTCCCTTCCCTACACACACCTCTCCTTGACAACCGCATCACCCTCACATCTTCCTGCTCCTTCCCCATCACAGCATCTAACTGGGCCACTTTCTCCATCCCTTCCTCACTGAGTCATGGCTGATTTAACCATGGCAGTCTGGAGCCCTGACAGCCACTGTGTGTGAACGGAAAGAGGCATCTCATCAGGAAAGAAGCATGTTAAGTATAGGGAAAGGAGTGATTAGAAAGAGAATTGCTTATTTTTGGAGACCACCCCCGGACACATACACGCTGGACTTATTATTTTTATGAATTGAAAATTAAACATTGTTGTGGCCCTCAGCCAAAGCTGCCGTGCAGACCAGGGAGGAAATGCACGTAGCTTTAAAGGTGATCACAGAAAGTCACTTCTAGCCCCTGGGAGAGGCCACAAGGCCACTGCTGTCACGGACCAGATGTGCCGGAAATCCTTTCAGGCAAATCAAAGGATGCTTGGACAGACACAGGGACAGTGGGCCGGAAATGAGGAGGCCACCTCCAGGAAGAGACAGTTTTTGGATTTGTTTTAGGTTTGTTTTCAGGCTTGAGGTAGCCTTTCACCAAATCCTCTTCCTTGTTCTAGTGACGTACAGGCACAAACACCAGGAAAACTCACCCATCAGGAAAAACGGCCTAGAAAGATACGAATAAGAAGTGGACTTCCAAAGCTCCCGGACCCATCTCTTGTTCAGAAAAACGCGTTGTACTTATTCACTGACTGTACAACATAAAGTCATAAGTGCCAAGGAACTGAGTCTCCAAAGACTTTTCCCAAGATAAATAATGCAAGAGGACTTATAACATCATATCATAAATATTCTTCTAATGCTGAGCACACTATCACACACTTCTCAGTGCTGACACTGTACAAACCACACAGTGGCCAGCTCCCTAGCTCCTCTTTCCAGGGAGGGTGGACAGGAATCCATCTACCAAGGAAGACCATAAAGAGAGCTGGCTCTCAGGCCTCCTTCCAGTGTATCTGAGCTATGCTCTTTCCTGGTTGTTGTTTGGAAACAGTGTTTCACTGTGTTGCCTGGCTGACCTGGCCTCGAACTCCTGATCTCTGCCACCTGAAAGCTGGGCGCCCAGCTGCACCGTGTTTTTTCCTTCTGCTTTGGGAAGCTTGTTTTACCCCAGAAACACAAATGACTCCTGTCTGCTTCCCTCTGAGGGGATGCTGAGGTGGTAGTGCGGGGGAGGTATGATTAGAAACATCTAATTTAGTGGTTAAGGGCACTAGCTATTCTCCCAGAGGTCCTGAGTTCAACTCCCACCACCATCTGATCTGGTGCCCTCTTCTGGTGTGCATGAGGAGAAGAGCACACATAAAACACATAAATAAGCAAAGTTAAAAAAAAATCTGATTTCTCAACAAGTATACCATCTTTTTACAGTTAGAGATAGATGTGCTGGGGAAAAATTATTAAGTATACCCAGAAAGAGGAAGACAGGAAACTCAGGAAGTAAGGAATTCAACTGCAGAGAAATTCAGGGGGGATTGCAAGAGCAGCAAAAGGAGATCCCAGGAGCACAGCTGGACATTAGGCTTTGACACAGGGGACTAAAGAAAGGGTGCAACAGGAAATAAGAAAGAAATGAATAGGGACGAATGGAATCAGATGTAGTGCCCTGCAGAGAAGTGGAGAGGCTATTTTAAAACTGGGGAAATTCTCAATAGGGTTAAGGCAATTTGAAGGGCAAAAAAAGATATTTAGAGAAAATGCAGTAAGAAAGTTCGCACAGTGGTGCACGCTTTTAATCCCAGCACGGGGGAGGGCAGAAGCAGGCGGAGCTCTGTGGGTTCAAGGCCGGCCTGCTTTATTATAAGGTGAGTCTCAAGACAGTGAAAGCTAGATAGGGAGACTCTGTCTCGAAAAACAGCAAAAATACAATATAAAACTATGATGGTATAATGGTACAGTATAGACTAGTTAATATTAAATTAATAATGTAAGCATTTGGAGAATTGGTATAGGGAAGCAGGGGGGATAATGATTTATGAGAATTAAATCTTCATCTGTCAAAACTGGGAGCCTACAGGGCCTGAAGAGATGACTTGCTGTTCTTGCAGAGGTTCCAGGTTCAGTTTCCAGCACCCACATGGTAGTATATAACCATACACAGCTCCAGTTCCAGCACCCACAAGATAGTATATAACCATCCATACACAGCTCCAGTTCCAGAAGATGAACACCCCCTTCTGCCTTCTGAGAACACTGGCATTCGCATAGCACACACATGTACATGCAGGCAAGACACGCATATACATAAAATAAATTAAATTTAGAAACAGGAAGCCTAGATTATCTAAAAATGTTAGGTTAGGAAATGTCAATGTCCCACTTTTTACACGACATTATCTGCTAATAATTTTAGTAGGGATTTTTCTCCTGGATCCATGAGAAACACTCATCAATGATTTGAAATGTCTCTATCTGGTTTTTGCATCAGGATAGAGTGGGCTCATAAAATTACTTGGGAAATGTTTCGTCCCTGTTTTCTAGAAGAGATTGGACAGGGTTGCTATTATTTCTTCCTTATACACTTGATAGACTTCACGCATAAAATAGTTTAGTAATAGAACTGAAGTTATAATAAGTTAGAGTTAGTTATAAGCAAAATATATATCTGTTTGCATTATGGGTGGTAATTTGTTCAGTTTGGGGAAATGTATACCTGAGAGTCCTGGTTTGAGAACTTCTAAAGGGAAAGCAAAGAAAAAGAAAAACCTATTTGTAGGAAAAATTTACAGTAGACTTATTTATCAGACCAAATGCTGAGAACTTCTTGAATATTTAGTAATGGAAGACTAGCTAGAAATAATATAACTTAATGTAATGATTTATATTAATAATAGGTCTAAAGATGATATTCCAATGCATGTAAAACATATAAAAGTGTCTTGGCAAAGCAGAGAACTCATCCCAGAACCCAAGGCATGAGACGCTTTCTCGGCAAAGCAGCTGGCAAGTTGGCCACTGTGGCCATGGTCTCCAGCCCTCCAGACAGGGGGCTTTGTCAGCACAACAAGACAGTGTCTGTTGTGCTACAGCGAGGTGAACAACCAAACAAATGAGCCAGCCCAATGCATAAAACCAGAGCAGCAACCCTATGTATAACAACATCTACGTATAAACCTTGACTACTGGCTTAAGGCTCAGCGATTTATGAAAAAAAAAATCAGTTTATAATCATTATGAGGAGCAAAGAGTTTGGGTGGGGGAACGGAGGCCGTCTGTTTTTGTCGCCACAGTGAGACAGTTTGGCTGCAACCACACCTACTTCTGGTGAGAGCCTTCTCCGTAGGTAAAATGCCTTTCATCAAATTTAACAAGACTGGCCATTATCCCAGCTAAGGTTTTCTTGCTCCCTTCCCCGCCCCCTCTCTGTCCTGATGGTAAGTCTGCGTGTCATTTGACTGGATCGCGGGGTGCAGAGAAAATCAGTGAAGCAGGCCGCTGGCTCTGTCTGTGTGGGGTTTTCCAGCGATAGCGAGATGACAAGGGTTCTGACCTAATATACGTAGGGTCATTAGCCAATGAACTCAAAATCTGAATAGACTACTGGGGGAGAGTGGAGCTGTAGAAAACAGGGCTTCTGTTGAAGGAAGTCCGTCACTGGGGTCATGCCTTGAAGGGCAAATGTTGACCCTTCCTGTTACTCCTCTGTTTCCTGCTGGTCGTGAGATAAGCAGCTTTGCCCTATCTCGACCTCCCCATCATGGTATCCTGCGTCGCTTCAGGCCCCAACCCATAGTCAGTCAACCGTGAGCCAGAGTCTCTGAGACCAGGGGTTTAAATAAGTCCTTCTTCCTAAAAGCTGTTTCTCTTAAACCTTTGCCACTGTGCTACGCACATGCGCACAAAGCACACACACCCATTTATCTGTCTCTGACTACCTGCGGAGTTTACTACACCTGATTCATAACTCCTTCCTGAAGGCAGGTCATAAAAACTCAGTCTCCCATCCCCCTACCTCCAACCCTCGTTTCTGTCTTAGAGATAGGTGGTCACGAAGAAAGCCACCGTCCTCATCCCCAGGGGCCCTGTCCCGGATTCTGGAGGAATGAATGAATGAATCACAGATAAGCCAAGAAGAATCTCAACAGACAGGTTCTTGTTGAGTTCCCTGAGCAGTCACTTAGCAACCGTGCCTACTCAGTGGAGTTCCCATCAGCACCCGAAAGGGCAGGGTTTGCAGAGCCTGCAGAGGACTGAACTTGTGGGGCTTCCTGGAGAATGGAGCATCTACAGAGGGCGTGGACTCCATACACCTCTCATGCTTGACCCTGTTTGTCGTTTGTGGTCTTCCTTTTTTTTTTTTTTTTTTGGTAATAAAGCAGCAAATTGAGCAGACATTTCCCAGGGGTCTGCGTGTTGCTGGAGTAGATGACTCAAACCCAAGGATGAGGTAGGTCGTGGGGATCCTGCTTCAGGCAGTTGCTCAAAAGCAGAGGTATAATAACCTCGGCTGTGGCGGGTTTCTAAAGGGGGGCAGGCAGTCTTGAATTGTTCAAGTCGGGAACATGTGAGACTTGTCGCTGCTTTTGGGTAGACAGGGAGAGGATTGGATTAGATCAGGGGACACCCAGCAAGCTGCTTTCTGGGACACAGTTAATGATGTGTTTGTTACATGGGCAGATTATATGCCGTTTGAGGTTCCAGAAGGCTTCTGTGTTGGTTACTGTATAAGAACAGAGGGAAATGGACCAACCGTGAGCAGCCGCATCCCCTGCAGTGTCTCGCTGTACCACACAGCAGCAGAAATTACACTAGCGAAGTTGCATTGAGTGCTACCTGCAAGCTCTGGAAAGAGCAAATATCGACACAGAAGATGCTCTCTCGTTTTAAGACATCAGAGGCAGGCGGATCTCTGTGAGTTCAAGACCAGCCTGGTCTACAGAGCTAGTTCCAGGACAGGCTCCAAAGCCACAGAGAAACTCTGTCTCGAGAAAAAAAAAAAAAAAAAAAAAAAGACATCATTCCTCAGTGCTGATGACTCTCTGAAGGGGGGCGCCTGTCTTCTTGCCTCTAACATTCTGGATCGTGAAAAGCCTGCTTCATGGACGTTAACAAGTTGCAAGCAGCTTTAATCTCATTTACCAGGTCATGACAGATCATATATGAGCAATGTCACAGGAAGAGTGAGTTCCTGGACAAAGCTGAGAAGAAATGTGAGAAGAATCTTGTCCTCTGGCTACTGAGTCAGGACACAAGCCGGGGTCAGTCCACTATTCCACAACTCTGACCTGCGAGGCACTCTCCATATTTCCCCAGCCAAGGAGTAAGAGAAAAGAATGGGCTAATCTTCCCTTACCAGCTTCTCTAAATTCTCCCCATTTTGAACCGCATGCTGCCTCCACCAGGAAGCCTTTTTTCTTGACTCATTTTCAATTCTAACTCCCATGACCTACTAGTAATTTTTCTCTCTCTCCTTCCAGTCATAGCAAATGGCTCCAGGGATAATCGCATCATTGCAGCCGGCCGCTCAGGAATCCAGTGAATTTTATGTGCTATTTCCTCACCCAGAAGGTTCCTTCCCCTGGAGAAACTGCAGTGGCCATGCTCTAGCCTGCACCTTCCTTACCCAGTTCTTCCTATCCTGTGCCACACATACAGCAGTTCCTTCCGGTTACAGCTTCCTATGCCTGTGCCTGCGCTCTCGACTGGCGCTCACCTCAAGCTCAGTTTCTATCACTAGTACCAAAGACGTCCTGACTAATGCAGCGAACCAAATACTCAGGTTGTTTTAGTTTTTTTCTACTTTTGTGCTCCTTCCTTTCTTTCTTTCTTCCTTCCTTCCTTCCTTCCTTCCTCTCTCCCTGCCTCTCTTTCTTACTTATTTATTCATTCATTCATGTATGTATACATGCATGTATGTATTTTGAGGCAAAGTCTTGTTGTGTAGCCCAGGCTGGCCTCAGACTGGTGATCCTCCTGCCTCAGCCTCCCAAGAACTGGAATCACAGGTGTGCATCCCCATTCTTTAGAAATGCTTTCTTCTAAAGTCCAAGCTGCTACACTTCCCTAGTTGGACACAAAGTATCTCCTCTCCTCCTTCTTCTTTCAGAGAGGCTGCAGCAACTTCAATGCAGAGACTTGGACCAAGGACGACAAGGTTTGTCTCTTATGTTATTATGTTACTCACGAGTTCTTCATGGAAATGACATTGTAACTTATTTCACACTTTTCTTTTTTGAAATTTCTGGCCTGTTAACCCAGCATCAGAGATACAGTGATCATTACTTTTGTTTACTTGGTTTTTTGATTTTATTTTATTTTGTCTGCTTTTGAGACAGGGTTTATGGCTCAGGGTGGCTTCAACCTGTCAATTGTCTTATTTCGCCATGCATGGCTTCTTATACAGCCTTAAAAAAAAGTCCCCCATGGCTACTTTCCCTCATGACTCCTTGTGAGCTTTGCTTTGTCCGTTTCTGTGGTAAGGGATGGCCACTCACCCTCGCTGGTATCTGTCCAGCTCATGAAGCACTGTGTGGTCGCAATACTCAAACACCAGGTGAAGCCTCCGCTTCTTCCGGAAGACCTCCAGGAGGTTGACAAGGTTAGGATGCTTGAGTTGCTGAAAGCACAAGAGGCAGGATGGTAGTAAACCTGAGTTGTGAGCATCTTTCTCGGAGTTCCAGTAAAAATCAAGCTGTTTCCCTTCAGGGGTTTCATTTTGTATGTGGAAGGAGGCTGCAATCAGGATCACCCAGTCTCTCTTCCCGGGCTGTTTCTCAGAGACTTAGAAGGGAAATGTGATTGGGACACGCGTGGGTTATGCAAGCAAAGAGATCTGAGAAGACTGGCTAAGCAAGGGACAGCTGCTCTAGTTAAGTATCCTCTCTGAGGAGTTCTCCCAGACTGCTCCTGTGCCCCTGGGTCAGAATCCCCAGAGGCTTCAAACTCTCATAGTATTAAATAATAAGCAATTACTAATGTGTGATTAGTAACTGTTTTCACTTACTTGTTTAATGTGCTCTGGTTTCATGGATACCTTATACATAGGACAGATAATTCCAGTAGAAACCCCTTCCTTCCTCTTACCTTCTCTTCCTTCCTTCCTTCCTTCCTTCCTTCCTTTCTTCCTAAGATAGAGTCTCTCTATTATGCAGCTCTGGTTTTCCTGGAACTCACTCTGTAGACCAGGCTGGCCTCCAACTCACAGATATCTACCTACCTCTGCCTCCTGAGTGCTATGATTAAAAGCGTGGACCACCATGTCTGGCACATAAATCTTTTTCTAAAGAAAAAAGAGATTTGTAACAACACACACACACACATACATGCGCACACCCTCCCAGTCAATTCCCTCTTTGTAGTGCCCATTCTTGCTTTATAACCAATAACTACCATTAGCGTCTACTTCATTATTGTTTGACGGTTTCTAACACTGGCACTTTGCACCTCTTTTTCCAAATAATCTTTGACAGTCATTACTTTTCTTGTTATGGTGGCAAATACCTGACAAAAAACATCTTATGGGATTGCTTGGCTTACAGTCTAAAGGGATACAGGAGTATGAGGTGGCTGATAACATTGCCTGACAGTCAGAAGGCAGAGAATGTCACAAAGTGGGTCTGATCTATAAAACCTCAAGTCCCTCCTCCATGGATCCTGTGACCTTCCTTGCGAGGCTCCAGCTCCTAAAGGCTCCACGACCTTCCAAAACAATGCCATCAGCTGGCGACCAAATGTTCAAGGACAAGAGTCTCTTGGAACATTTCACACTGTAACCCAACAGCTACGAATGGTTTCCTACAAGGATTCTGTAGTCAAGTGTTATCTATATCATGCTAAATTTTCTCCCTAATAGAAAGTAGCATGATAAACCAGGCAGTGTGAGCACAGGCCTTTAATTCCAGCACTCAGAGACAAAACAGGTGGATCTCTGTGAGTTCAAGGCTAACTTGGTCTACAGAGCAAGTTCTAGGAAGCCAGCACTATACAGACAAACCCTGTCTTGAAACAGCCCTCCCCTAGTAATAAAATTCATACAATCCAATTTGTAAGCATTTAAAAATGCATAGGAGCAACATGAATTGTGTTTAGAGCTCCTTGGAGCATCGCACATGGATAAGCAGGAGGCCCTTTCTTCACTGGCTTCCAGCTGTCACCTGCTTGCCTAGGCACTCTTGCCTTATCCTAGGCTTGAAGAGTTACAGGCAATCGGCCACGCGACTGAGCTCACATACCAGAGGAGAGAACTGTAGGAATGGGGTGCAGTAAGGAAACTACCAAAATGGAGACTACTGAAACGGCCTTTCCATTGGGGGAAAGGTTTTTATTATAGGAGAGAGAGAGGAGAGAGAGAGAGAGAGCGCAGCCAGAGGTGTCTGGAAGATGCCAGAGCAGAGAGAGAATGCAGACTTGACACGGCTGGACTAGGGAAGCAGGAATAGCAGAGAATAACGAGAGAGAATAGTGGAGCTGGTCAGAAAGAAGGTGTGGGGGAATCGTAGAGAATAGCAGGTTAGAAGGAGATCGAGCAGCTGGAGGAGGGAAGCCCAGATCTGGTGCAATCAGGATGCTAGTGTAGACTTTGAAATACATAAATGGACACTTGTGACTAGGGACTTTAGGAGTCTAGAGGCCAGCATGGGCTTTAATATGCAACCACAAGTATATGTCAATGGAGAGCTACATATCCCTTCTGCTAGAGGCAAGGGAAATGACTCCCTTGGGCAGGCAGGAAGGAAACCCATTTCACAAGCTGAGGAATACTGGCTTTTATCTAACCACCAGAAATCCTTCTGTAGTCCGGCTTGAGCTGGGTTAAGACTGTCATTTCTGGACATATACACTGCTTTTTGGAGTTTAAGGAACTGGAGCTTCCATTGGACCTGGACAGGCATCTTCAGCCCCATTGTTTACGTTAGATAAAGCTTTGCATCCTGAACTAACAGTATGGGACTCTTAAACCGGAAGGTGGTGGCACACACACTTAATCCCAGCACGGGGGAGGCAGAGGCAGCTGAATCTCTGGGAGTTTGAGGCCAACCTGGTCTACAAGAGTTAGTTCCAAGATAGCTAGGATTGTTATACAGAGAAACCCTGTCTCAGGAAAAAAAAAAAAAAAAGAACAAGTAGCAAACAAATAGGATGGGACTCTTATGGGGATAGGCAATGCTAGACCCTGGGGAGATTGCACTTACCTGAAGAACTCAACCAATGACTTCAGCAGGCAGGGAAATTGTGTGTGTGTGTGGGGGGGGGGCATGCGTGCGTGCACAAATGTTTCATACATGTGTATGAATGTTTTGCCTGCATGTATATCTGTTTGCCATGTGTGTGCCTGGTGCCTGGTGGAGGTCAGAAAAGGGCATCAGATCCCTTGGAACTAGAGTTACAGGTGGTTGTGAGCTACCATGGGTGCTGATCAAAGCTTGGTCTGGTGCAAGAATAGTCAGTGCTCTTCACCACTGAACCCTGTGATGAGGATTTTTAAAACCACTGTTTTGTACTAACTCCATTAAGACCACTCTTCTTCTTTTTCTTCTTCTTTTTTCCTTTTCTCTGGGCTGATGCCCAGCTTAGCAAAGTTGTAAAATAAACTGCCACGTTTTTCCAGACTCCAGTATTCTTAATATAAAACGAAGATAGTTATTTCTCACACCCAGTCCATCTCTAGAACTCTTTTTAGGCACAAAACTGAAACTTTGTATCCATCAAAGATACTCACTCCAACCCAAGAAAGCAACAATTCCTAATGGCCCCTTATCCAACCATTCTCCTACCAAAGCAAACAACCTCCCTCCCCCTGTGAACACCAGAAACAGACGCTGGGCTGTTATCAGGAGAGGACTTCACACTGTCGGAGCCAGCCATGATAAGCTAAATATGAACAGACCACCCAAAGGAAGTTCTTTACTTCCAACCATTATCACCTGCCAGAATAGGACTCAGCCATTGATAAGTTTAACGGAGGCCTGAGTCTCAGTAGTTTACCCTGAAGCAATACCTGGTTGCAGGAAGGACCATAAACCCAGATTACCTGAGCACCACCCAAGAACAGACCATCCAAAGGAAATGCCTAACATTCCAACCGCTGCAGATAGGATCACCTGCCAGCACACACTCACCAGGACACCGGTAGACAAATGTTAGCCAATTAGGGGTCCTGAACCTCAAAAAACCCTCACCCCCATCTTTACTACTATAAAACCCAATTCTAACTGAGCTCGGAGCTCTCCGTTTATTCCAATACATTGGACATGCAGAGAGACCGAGTTTGCAAATTTGCATAAAGTAAAGGCTCTTTGCTTTTACATATGGGACTCAGTCTCCTTGTTGGCTTTTGGGGGACTTCGCGGATTTGGGCATAACACACATAGGCCTTTTAAGGAACTGAAATTGTGTGTCCTGCGGGTGACGTTCATGGGCAATGGCCAGCCAGCTAGTGAGAACATGGTCCTGCGGGGCGGGTGGGCTGAAAATTGACATTCTCTCTTAGGTGTAATGGGAAGTCATGGGCAGGAAATGCAGCAAGCTGTGATAAACAGCCCTCAGCATTTGAGCTTTAGGCCGTAGGATTTGGAATAGCTCAGAAGAGGAAATAAAAAAAAAACCCGGACCAGAGGAGAGAGTGCACAGAGAGAGATGGCAGAAAGACTCTGTTTGGAGATACCAGAATAGTAAGAATGTGGCAATGGAACTAGAGCTGAGAGTCAAGGGAAGGGAAGATAGCAAGAATGAACAAAGATTTGTCCAATGAGAGGATGCTGACACAGCAAAGAGATAGGGCAGGTCCACAAGGAGGAAGCTGCTCTTCTTGGTCCTTCCATATCACAGGACTCCAACAGTCCAAAGTACACCTGTCCGGTTTTCTAGAGCTAGAACAAGATAAAGCCAGAGTGTCCCCAGGCGCTGTAGGAAGACTTGGCTAACACAGGAAGAAGTCCGAAGAACCTGAACATCCGGAGGTGAGGAAGAGGTAGTGAGGAAAGCAGGTCCCCACAGGCAAGAGAGAGCATGATGCCTTCGCTTCCCTTTAAATGTAAGCAGTCCTCAGTGATGGGGCTGATGGGAGGTCGCGTGGGGAGTGAACTGCGGGGGTGGAGGGGGACGGAGCAGAGGACTTCTCATTTGGAAGGTTTTGTGAGCCACTGTGGTACCCTGCAATGGGCGGTGAACCAGACTTATGGATTTGGCATCTCAAGACACATCCTTCCCCTCTGTCCATAACTCCCTGGCCCGGGGGAGGGGATCAGGAAGACACCTTGGTCTTGAAGCTGGTTCGCAGACCGTACCCTGTAGCTTTCAACCACAGCTACCATAATTGTGGATGTTTGTCTATGAGGGCTCTCAGGTGTCCTTTCTGTGGCCCACAGTATGCCTGGGACACAGGAGAGCTATGGCTGCTTACCAACACGAAATTGGAAACATTCTTAAATCATCATGAGGTTGTTTTTCTCCTCATGACTCTGTTGTGCAGTTCTTGAGCACAAACTTCGGAGACAGCAATACTTTGTCACGATGTCAGAATGTTGGGCATGCCTGGGCCTTAGACACTTCCACCTTTGTCCAAAAGGGATTTCTTGAGGAACATGCAAATAAATTAGATGACAAGAACCAAATGCC